ATTGTAAAGCTGGCCATACACTTATAGATTATCTGTGGATTTTCTATGGTCAGATGGAAAAGGTACAACAGATTCCTCCATCTACGCTAAACTGTGTGGATGGAGGAATCTCCCACTGGGCCAAGCTTCAGTATCTTGCTAGTCGGCCCCGCTGGCTCTCAAAACACCTGAACAATTGCATCCAATCAGATTGTTCAGGTATTTTGACAGCCAGCGGGGCCGACTAGCAAGATACTGAAGCTTGGCCCAGTGGGAGATTCCTCCATCCACACAGTTTAGTGTAGATGGAGGAATCTGTTGCACTTTTTCCATCTGACCATAGAAAATCTGCAGATCATTGGAAGGTGAATGGGCACATTTAGTCTATCAAAGGAAGTTCCTAAACAAGGACCTTCACTGCAGGATCAGCAGGCAATATTTTAATGAGAAGAAAAAAAAACGAATATTTGAAAAGGACTTTAGAAATTGACATGTTAAAAAGTATATGAGGATTGTAATAATAATTTAGTTTACTTATAAAGAAAAACTTCAGGTAACATTTTATTAACCTTCGCAGTGGGGCTTCCACTGCACTGCAAGGGTTAACTGCTCGTTTTTGCCTAGGGTCACAAATAAAGTTATATTCACACGATCCTCTGAGCTGACTGGCTATGACAGTGCTTCCCCCTGCCTGTCTTCTACACTGCAGCGATGGTATGTCCCTTGGAGTCTTCACATCCTATACGTCGTGTATAGAATGCGATTACTCTGCGACCTTTGACGGCTGCAGCAGAGGGGGAGAGAGGCTCCATGAACCAGTCTAACAGCAAGCCAGCTCAAAGGACTGGCTAAATATAACTTTTTATTTTGGACCCTAGGCAAAAATGAGCACTTAACCTTTGCAGAGCGAGGGTAGCCCCATTGCATGGGTTAATAACATTTTTACCCAGAGTTCTGCTTTAAAAGGCTTCACAACATTTCAAAGTGTAAAACTTTCAAAACCCAAGACATAAAAAGAATGGATGCACCGATATATCGGGCAAAAATTGCACTTTTGTCAATAAGCCAAAAGTGCCATTTTCTGGCCCATACAGAGGTGCATCCATTCTTTCCTCCCTGTTGGGCGCTGCTCTGCGTCCCAGCGGGGAGGAGAGAAACGGTCACAGGAAGCCGAGAGCTGCGGGAGAACGCTGTGAGCGGGTTTGGGCGGAGACAGCTGTCATAGGAGGCTGAGCTCTCCTCCCTCACTGCCCCCTGTGACAGCCAATCCAAGATAGAGAGCGGCGGTGTGGGCGGAGACAGATGTCATAGGAAGCTGAGCTCTCCTCCTGCACCGCTCGCTCGGCGTCCTGTGACAGCCGATCCAGGATAGAGAGCAGGTACAAAACACTAGCGATCACTGAGTGTTTAGTAAATAATTGAGGACATGGTATGTTTACTGTGCCCACAATTATGAATGGAAAGTGATCTACATCACTTCCTGTTCATTCATGATTGTGGATATAGTAAACACACTATGTCCACAAGCTATGAATGAAAAGGAACACTCAGTATAGAGGCTTCCTGTTGATTAATAACAGGGACTGCACAAAAAGAGATTGAGGACTCAATCTCTTTTTCCATTTTAAAAGGGAAATATCAGGGGTCTGTTTACTTTTTCCCTAAAAGTAAAGTTAAACAATACATTTAATAAAGATAAAATAATTTTTAAAAATTTGAAAACATTTTCGGTTTCGGCCTATTTTCTTTCATTTCGGTTTTGAAATTTTAATTTCGGTGCACCTCTAAAAAAGTAAGAATGCCATAAACTGAAATACATAAATTTGGCGGCGGAAGTCTAAAATATGAAGCAACGTTCCCATCTACAATGCAATGACCAAACCATGGCAGATATTTACTGAAATACTGGAAATGCAACAATAAAAAACCTTCACGTTACACCATTTTTTTAAATAACTCTGCTCCGGGATGTTTGCATTCCACCAAATACATAAATAATTCGTATGTAGGAAGCAATAGAACTATATGAAGCTGAGACACATATAATCATGAACAATTCGTCAAGCCTGCAATGCTCTACTTTGCATTAGCAATTATAAATTCAACCACATAAATTGCTTTAGCAAAGTCAGCAGTGCATTATTGTGCTCATTTCAAATAGGAGTTGGCCGAGTATTGGATCTTTACATTTCAATAAAGCTTCAGAAACTTTCCAGTAATGGCATGACTAAGATTCAGTTCTACTTCTAAGCATCGGGTTTATATGCATTTATATCAGTGTAATAAATACTTGTACACTCCAGCGTTACTTTCTGCATTTTACATGTACAGTGGCAATCGTCATTACAGATCTGTCGTCTTTTGGTTGTGCTTCATCAGCTATTTCCGTTTTTGAACATACAATTCACACTGAAGTTTGGCAGAATGAACATGTTGAAACACTGCTCTTTCAAAGCCTTGCCCAGACATATAAAGCAACAATATCCTCCCCGCCCAAACGCATGAAGACTTCTGCAGACTACAGCCCAATTTCCTAGCATTACATAGCCGGGAGGGGCTGCGCCAAGTGTCAGGGTATTAAAGTCCAATCAATAGGTGACAGATCAGAGAGGATATCCCAGAGCAGACACACTGCAGTCCTGTTTCTATGCGCATTCACAAAAATGGGGGAGGGAGGATGTCACTCAAGTGTGGCGATAATTAAAGCCCCTGGGTGAATGGGAGGGACACCAGGACTAATCAGCAAATAAGCCTCATTACTGTGTTCTCCTGTATCCTCCATGTACAAATCCTGCGCCATTTTACAGATTAACCCTTTCACGGTACAAGAAACCCGCTCTCTGCCAAATGAGAAAACCCTTTTGTTCATTCTCTAAATATCAGAAAGGGATCAAACGGGGCTTACAGACAAGAGTCCTATGATTCCTGTCATACAATCGTCCAGGCAATCCAGTCATTTAATTCGCTGTTAGGGTTGAATGCTTTAAACAGCAAACTGACTATTTCAGATGCCTGGATATCAAATATTTTTGCTCTGCAATGTTCAGTTACATCACACAGGTTGCATCAAAAGAACAAGTGACCCATATATAGGCCAATAAGCCTCATTTTTGTATAATACTTTACATTATGTGCACCCTTTTGGTGCTTAAACCCTTTGACAGCATATTGGCTCACCCAGGAGACTCAGAAGAGGGGAAACACCCACCCCCCAGCCAAATGTCAATAACCCTGAGCAGTGAGTGCATCCAGAGTCCATGTCAATCAAGGAGAGGGGGGTTTCTATGTAGCATACTGAAGCAAATAACATCATCACTGACAGGGTGTAGATTACTGCAAAGCATCATCCACATGACCCAGCGCCCCGCCTGTGAGTGGGAGACATGGGCTGAGCCAACTTCACATACACTGCACCAGTGTACACATTAGGCTGATTTATGAAAAACAGAGCAAAGAAAAACAAAGCTGTCACCTGTAGCTAACCAATTCCTGAAGGCCCATCCACAAAAACTAGAGCAAGACCAAAGCTGTCACCCGACAACATACAGGCCACACTCCTAGAGCAGCTTTTGGAACAATGACAGGAGGCACAGGGTTACTAGGTGCAACAGCTCCATTGTACTGCACCCCTGTAGGCTCCAAATCTCACAGAAAAAAAAACATGTATTTGTTGCTATGGGCAACATCTCCAATCCATATTTAATGTAATTCAGTATTGCTATAGAGCTACTGCCTGCAGTAAATGATAAAATTCATAAAGGGTTCACTTGTATTATAGTATCAGTACAGATTAATGCTATATGCCAGCCAACAGCAATGTAAAGCCCCAAATGGGATAAAAAACTACAATCCTATACACCCCACCAATACGGCTCCACTCTATACACCACGTGGATATCAATACAGATCCACTCTATACACCACGTGGATATAAATACAGATCCACGCTAGACACCACGTGGAGATAAATACGGATCCACGCTAGACACCACGTGGAGATAAATACGGATCCACGCTATACACCACGTGGAGATAAATACGGATCCACGCTATACACCACGTGGATATAAATGCGGATCCACGCTATACACCACGTGGATATAAATACGGATCCACGCTATACACCACGTGGATATAAATACAGATCCACGCTATACACCACATGCCATGGAAATAAATACAGATCCACGCTATACACCACATGCCATGGATATAAATACAGATCCACTCTATACACCACATGGATATAAATACAGATCCACTCTATACACCACATGGATATAAATACAGATCCACTCTATACACCACATGGATATAAATACAGATCCACTCTATACACCACATGGATATAAATACAGATCCACTCTATACACCACATGCCATGGATATAAATACAGATCCACTCTATACACCACATGCCATGGATATAAATACAGATCAACCCTATACACCACATGGATATAAATACAGATCCACTCTATACACCACATGGATATAAATACAGATCCACGCTATACACCACATGGACAAGATCCATTTGGCACATAAATCCAGATTATCCTACATGCCAGGCAATCTGCAAGCCTCAAGGCGTTGGAATAGATTGGTTCCCATGGGTAACAAGCATATTCCTTTGTGTCACAATAGAACAACCAATGTGGCCTGGGTATGTACATGGACCTGGCAATGTGGAGCAGAACCCGAGCTGATGCCAATAACAAGATAATCCTGCTTATTTTGAAGCTAAAAAATTATTGGTTGCTATAGGCAACAGCTCTACTCCCCCCCCTCCCTAAAGACACCTAGCTGCTCTGTTCGAGCCTGGTTCGGCATGCTGGGAGTTGTAGTTCCTCAAACCCTGGCGGTATCAGGTGAAATGGCAGCCGTGACGGGAAGAGCCAGGCAGGGTTTCCGTGGCTTCCCCGGGGCCCAGTGTGCCAGGTGCACGCACAGCCCAAGCACCCCCCTCAGCCGCCTCTGCAATGCGGGCCTGACAAGGCGGCGCTGCAGCACATGCTCACCATGGCGTCCGGCGGGTTTAGCGAGAATTAGGGGTGAACTGCCTGGCTGGTCCGCTGGGTACAGGCTCCGGCTAGGAGGAGGACGCTCCAACACTGACCCGCTGCAGCCTCGTACTATGGGGAGAGCGAGCAGCGAACGACGGGGAGGGAACGGGCGGAGCCTGGTCGTCGTCACACGGAGCTGGGCGGAGCTTCCCGTCGTGAAGCGAAACGTAGCCTCACCCACAGGGGCGCGCTGTCGTCATCACGGTACCTGCGTACGAAAGAAGAACTGGCAGGTGTGCAGGCGCCATGATTGTTGAGGGCGTAAGGGTGGTTGTCCTGAAACCGGGGTGTTTTTGAATTCTCAGCATAGACACCAGCTTTACAGAATCATGTACTAGATTCATTGGCTAGTGGGTTCGTGCATGTAAACTTCTTACTTTAATATGGTATCAGAGGTCAACGTGTGTTACAAATGGTTGTGTGTAATAAATATAAGCCTTCAAGGCATAGCCCACCTTTTGCAAAAATGTAGTAAATGCACCCACATTGATAAAACAAAATGTGTATTTATTACATTTTTGCATTGAAGCCTGCATAGCATTGCAACCATGATCAGTGGCATGGGTGGAAAGAACAGGCTGCTGCCTTGTTTACCCCCAGCCCCTATTCTGGGGATGAAGGAAGTAAACAATGGACTACGGCTGTGATGTCACGCACTGATCCATTGATATCTGGGAGATAGAACCTGTAGTCTTTCCATTCCCAGATCCTTGTGAATGGATGATCCCTCTCTGTGTGCTGCACCAAATTCAAACCAAAACAGAAGGCTGCAGAGAAAAGCACCCCCACAATTCAGATAAGTGGGGGGCTGGGAAATGTGACCATGTTTTATGTTACACCCTATAGACATTGTTTTAACGGTGGACTTAGCCTTTAAGATCAAATTTGTCAGTAGAATAGAGATGATAAAAGGGCCCCCTGCCACAAAGAGTTCTACCTCTCCGCCATCCTGGCCACTGGCCTGCGTTGTCTTGTAGAGATACGGCTGCTTAAACAATTTTCAGAATCTGTCACTTCATGAATTAAAAAATCACAGGTGACCCCTGCTACTATTCAATAAATTAGGAAAGTGCAGGAATTAATTTCTGTGTCGTATTCCTGGGTGCCCCCTCCCCCCACCACACACACACACCTTCATGTAGTTCCTCCCACCGACACCAATGTCATTATAAGACACGCTGGTGATGTAAGGGCTGACAGATCAAACCAATGAATGCTGCGGCGTATTGGCTATCGAACAATACCAGAAGTGTCCGATTCTAAAGATTCTTCAGGCAGCTGTATTTCTGCAATACAGCGCAGATCAGCAGCGTGGCCGAGGTATGAGCTTTCTTTTTTTTTGCAGAGGGCACTTTGTCATCTTTATTCTAGTGATAGAGTCGGTTTAAATTGCAACTACAGCCCTAAATGTAAAAAATTGCTGGCAGGACGACTTTTATTGCCTTTAAATTTACAGACTAAATCATATGATTTTTACCTGTAATGCTGGAGACACCAGTGAAAGGAGGAGGATAAGGACAGTAGACATTTCTCTAAGAATGACAGTTGAGCCTGTCTCAAAAAACCGCCCTACAGTATAACCCTGCTTTGCTGCCATGGTAAGGCTGCTCGAATGTTGGCACGCGTTTGCAGCGTGGCATTTCAATGTAAAATTCTCCTTGGAATGAAAAAAAAGCCCTTCAGGAGATGGCGATATCGCCTTCTGCCAGCAGATCACCACTCAATCCGCTGTGGATTGCTTTTCCTGGGGGCTGTAAACCCTGCCCCACTGTGTGAAATTGGCCTACTTTGGGGGGAAGCAGTTACATCGATGCGTTTAGTTCCACCCTCACAAATCAATAGTAGTTCGACTAGCATTTTTTATGCTCAGTTTTAGCTGTAAATTATCTTTGTCATGTTGTATTTCAATGTGATATTGGCTCTAGGATTGGTGTGGTTGTTTACAGAGCAAACACACTTTCAAATGCGCATGATTTAAAGACAATAAAGCCCAAAGCGACTTAAAAGTTTTTATTTGGTTCTCAATAAAGTGAGTAAGGGTTAGAGCCTCTGCCAGGTTTTTATTGCCGTCTACAGCCCTTTTAGAGAGACTTCCCTTCACTTCTTGTCAGAACAGAAAGGGATATAGAAAATGTACCCAGTGGAGATACAGACCTTTCTTTAGTATAGTGGTGAAGAGTTAGAATTTCTAACATCATTTTTGTTGCTCTCTGTGTCTTCTTGTCCGGGTCACAATGGCTCCCCTCATTTCTTTTACGGGCCTCACAGAGACATACAGTGAAGGAAAATCTCACCAACAGTGTTACAGACAGAAATAAAAACCCATTATAGAATTGATCTCTTAAAGGAGAACTATGGGGTCAGGGCTTTTCCCCATAGTTCACCTAAGGGTAACGGTAGGACACAAACTAGCGTCCTCCCGTCACCCTAGGCTCAGTATACCGCGAGCTACAGCTATACTGAGACACCGCAGCTGAAATGGATCCCGACAATTATGTCTGGATCCGCCCAGCTGCGTGAGTGACAGCTGGCTCTGCCTATCTAGAGCAGAGCCAGCTGTACCCGCCCTGTCCGTTCCGCCAGTCAGCGCTGGAGGATCGGAGCGGGGAGGGGGGAATCCAGCCCCTCCCCTGTCACGGCTCTCTGCCGTGACAAGATCGAGAAGATCGCTCACTTTCCGATCTACTGAGCCGACCTGTGACAGTCTCATTGTCACAGGTCAGCTAGAACTATGAGGTGAGTGAAAAGCACTCACCTCATAGTTCTCCTTTAAGCCTCATTCATACAGGGCATGTTGTTCTGTACTGTGTGAAGGGCTGTTTTGTTTTGATGTGCCCAGAGCCGCAGGAAAAAACACATTCAACGTGACCAACCAGAAGAGAGCAGCCAACGGCCCTGAGTAATTGGAGATTTTATCACTCCTTGTCCGGCCTTCTGTGGGTTGTGGTTCCCATCTCGAATTACTCAGGGCCGTGGGCTGCTCCGTTCTGGTTGGTCACGTTGGATGCGTATGCATTGGCTCCCCGCTGGGCAGGTTTCCTTGGCAGTAATTAATAATGTTGCTATATATGTTTTATCTTTGGATGCATGAATCATGATACTATTATATGATCAATTAGATTCCCTTCACCTCCTGAGGAAGCGCTTGGAGAATAATATCCACTCTATATTATCTTCAGATAAGGCTATTTATACACATAACTTGGAGAATATTTGGCAATTTTTATGTGTGTTACCTTTCATGTGTTATATCATGCATATTTATAGAGGGTATTGATAAAGTTATGTAAATTATTCATCAACTTGTCTTGTTATTTCTTGTACCACCCAAATCATGTCTTTGATGTTTTGTATGCCTGAATCATGGAATTAATAAATGGGTTTTGGAGGTACCTGTCTATTAGGATATGCGCATCTTTTTAGCATGTTTGTACTCAATAAAATAATACTTTTTATATGAAGCAATTTTGTGGTTCATTGGATCTGTCATTTGATGCCAATAAAGCCCCACTTTTATACCTTGACTGTATGGAGCAACACCTTACATGAATGAGGCCTTAGGCCAGGGCTGTCCTTATAATGAGACAGTCGGAGGCGGTTTCCTGAGACGGCATCTCATTGGGGGGTGGCCACAGCGTCCCAGGATGTAAAGAGCTTTAGCAACCAGTGAAACACTGTGCTGCTCCCTGATGTCACCGGGTGCCAGGAGATGAGTGGGGACACTATGGATTGCATCCTGCCTAGCTCCTGGCAACCGGTGACGTCAGAGAGCTGGGGGTGGGACGCCAGACAGAGCCACTGACACCCAACTTCCCCCCCCCTTCAAATGCCCAATCAGCTGTGCATGACAACACCCCCTCGTGACCATTTCGTGACAGTACCCAACCGCCTTCCCCCACCCGGAATTACATCACCTCAGGCGGCAATTAATTTAGGGATGGCACCGCCTTAGGATGATGTCAGACTTTTGCTGCTGATCCTACCGCTGGTAAATTGTCAAAAATGCCAGTGGCAGGATCGCTAAGAGGCTGCCTGTTTTTTTCACTATGGAATTACTACCTGAGGCAGCAAGATGTCGCTCCCATCGCCAGCAACAGAGCGACATCTCTCTGACATCTCTGCAGAGGGAATGATTCCACAGTGATAGACAGGCAACCTCTTTAGTGATCCTGCTGCTGACAATTTGTTTCTTGCTGCAAAATAGCCCGTCTGACATTAGTCTTACTCTATCCAAAGCTGGAAAAATATTGTCTGGCGTTAGTCCCCGTTCACAGCTGAGCACAGTTTGTCATGTGTTTCTAGAAGCGACCCTTAACAATAAGACTTCTCTTTTATTCTATGGAGCGCGTTTATATTTGAGCAATTTGTCGCACATTTCCAAACACAATGCTTGACACTAAGATTTCTGTTTTACTCTATAGAGCCCGTCTACATCTATGTTGCACCAAAGAAGTACAGGTGCTTCTATGGGAAGGATTAAGAGTTTTTTACCCCATAGACTTTAATGGGAGCTCCTGAAAAAGACATGTAAGGTGCGCTTTTCACACATTTGTGCACCTAACAGCTGTACATAAAAGATGCAGATACAGACACCCAAGTGTAAACTTTGCCTTAGGCGTTACAATGCATATAGTGTAGATATCAGTATAACCTTATTGCCAGTAAATAATCTTTCTTCTCATACCTTTATTTTCTTTGCTGTCCGATCCATTTCACCGATGCGCAATCCACAAACGTTTTCACATAACAGGTGTTGACATAACATCAAATACACTCACAACCTTGCAGTATTGCTTGTGTGACCTTTTTCCTGCTGGACGACAGCATATTATCAGGTTATCATTTCTAATTACATAGCAGCTCCATTAAAAACAATAAACGTTCCCAATCAATTATAATGGTCACTGTATACCTGTATAACAATCTGCTTTTCTGTTCTGCTGGTCCTTGGATCTGTACTTGACGCTGTTTTCTTATGCGGAATTTCCTTCTATATGCTTTCTCTCTGCCACCTACTGACACATACCTCATCTGTGTGTTAGGTATGCATTTATCTCCCTTTAGATTACCAAGAAGATGGGTGAAGACTAAAGGGGTGACTTATTCCTGCTCTCCACCTTTCTCTGCCTTAGTTATTATATCATTCA